ACAAAATAAACACCATGGTAATACCTATAGAAAAGGTCGACTTGTTTTTTAAAGTAAACTTTGTGGAGGAACAAAATGCGATAATAAACGAATCGAACATGATATTTGACAAGGTGTATCAACAGATTTTAGCAACTAAGAAGGAGATTGGGGCCGATCGCAACATCTTAGCATCGCTTATGAGGAAGCAGTTGCAGTTTATTTTCCACTTAAGTTAAAGCAGATGATGCGTGAAGAGGGGCAGATAAAAGGACACGCTCTGGGGTGTGAGGTGTGGACGGATTAGTGCAGTGGAAACTCCCTTTTTTTTTTTGTGCACGTTATCTTAATGTGGGCCTTTTCCCGTTGCGTTTTTTTTTTCTTCTTGACCCAAAATATGTGCAGAAAAGAGTTCCCAATTTTTTGGTACTTTTTTTTGCACCCTACCATAGTATCTTTTAAACATGGGGATATGTCCCAAAGAAGGATAAGCCGCATAAACTGCTAATTTGTCCGCTAAACAAAGCCCCTCTTTTTTTTTTAAATGTTACAATTTTTTGTGAAAGAAATAAATGGCCAGCAAGATGTTGCGTATATGTTTCTATTTTTTATGACACTATGTGCATTCCTCGTTTTTTAAAAACATATGATCTGTTTGCAATTCTAGATTTTGCAAAATTTGTCAACTTATTTTGTTAACTTTCTTAATCCTACAAAATGGGCACAGTTTAGCTTAAGGCGTTTGGGGCGCGAAGAGGTTCACACGAGCGCAGTGGCGCAAAAGGGAAAAATAAAAGAAAAAAAGGAAAAATAGAAAAAATAGAAAAAAAAAGTGAAAAAAAGAACTCATCACATCATTAACTGGTAAGTACTTATACGAGCAGTACTTTTAAATTGTCAGGCAACCGAATTAACACCTCCATGCATTTCCCCCATAGTTGAGGTCAAAATTGAAGAGAAAAAGAAAAAAAAAAGGCACAGGCATAATTACACAAATGATGGAAGAAAAATGAACTTTTTTTTTTTGTTGTAAGCATAGGAATGAAGCCACACTGAGAAACACGGAAAATTCCATCTACATAAAATTGCGCGCTTTATTAGAGTACTTTTGCAAATATGAAAAATTATGCAATATTCCAGAGGGATGAAAAGAAGCTGCTTTTTGAAAAATTCGAAAGGGACATAACAAATTTGTTAAAAATTTATAACGTATTTTTTGTAATTGGCATTTTGGAATTTGAAGAATTTATAAAGCTAGCTTTGGTTCTGTACGAAAAGAAAGTTCACACCTTAAATGAGAAGAGCAAATTGTGCATTTCATTTTCGGACAAGATTTTCCCGCACTGCTATGACTTAATTGATTACGATTTGAGTGATTTTTTCACTCCACTGTTAATTGATCATGATGAGAAGGAGGAAACTGCTCACCAAAATGACAAAATTGCACTCCTGGACGAAGCAACACTGCTTCAGAAAATATTACTCGATCCCCTTCTAATTGAATTTAATGTTATAATTTTAACAAATGTTCATAGGAGGCTAGTAAAGACCGACTTGCTACTGTCACTACTGAAGAAGATACTTTTGAAGCGAAACGATTTGGTCATTTTTATATTTTCTAACTGCCTGATCGGAAGCGTACTTACCTTTTTTAGTTCCTATGAGGGTGCACCAAATTGGCCACATGTAGAGTCCCCGCCCGTGGTTGAAGAGGAGGAACACCACAGAGTTATCCATAAGAGGGATGTTAGCAATGCGAAAAAATGGGAAGCGAGAATGGAACATCGGGAAAACGAAGATGACGGAAGAGCGCAAGTGCGTGGTGAGAAGTCGCTTGGTCATTCTCACAAGGGAAGACAAATTAGCGTTGCAATGAGGGGAAAGCATTTCGTAGCAAAAATTGACGAAAGGGGAGGCATAAAAGTGGATGGAAAGGACACGGACGAATATGTCTCAGCAAAGGGGGTGATACATAGAAGTGAGTCGAAAGGTTTGCACACGCAGAATGAAGGAAGGGTGTATGATTTTTTGGAAGAGAACGAAGATGCCCTTCCAGAGTACCACATTTATAAGAATAGACACGAACGCAGAAATTATGGAACAGGTGATATAGGGGGGAAAAAACATTTCTCTATAAAAAATAAAAAAATGAAGGATTTAATAAGTAGGAAGAAGTATTACGTGAGGAGTAGGAGCAACACGCTATCCAACGATGAAGGGGATAAGGAAAAATGCCTAGCCCGAGGGGATAGTGAAAATTTGGATTTTTCTCGCGCGGATGAAGAAAAAGGAAGAAATGTGCGAAATTCGCTATACGAATATTCGGCGAAACATTGCATGATGTATGACCAGAAGGATGACGCAGATTTTATGAACCCCTCCTGCAGAAATCTACCTCATAATGGAAAAGACCAAATTAGTAAAAAGTTGGAAGAGTGGAAAAAGTTCGCAGAAGGGATAGGAAAAGTCAACAAAGAAATTAACGTGTTCGTTTTTCACATTTGTAATGAGAGCAATTCTGGTGAAAGGAGAGGAAGCAAAACGAGCGAGCCGGTGAGCGGCGATATTTACTATTTGAAAAAAAGATGTGCAAATTATTTGCATACCTGTATCGTTTTAGCTAGTAACCTATTTAGAAATAAAAAAAGGAGCAGAGAAAATGTTCTTCTCTTTTTAAATAACGAACACGAAATAGATGTGGTCAAGAGGGGGTTGCAAAATGGAGGCATCGAAAATAGTAACATTGCAGTTGTGAACGACATGCCTGAAGATGACCCGGATTGGGGAGAGTTACGGGACAAAATTATTATCTTAAAAGATTCAGAATTTTTTTATAAAAAGGTAAAAAATGTGAAATATGTCATAGATCCATGCTTCGAGAAGGATGAAATATATGATTACGACTTGAACGTGACGAACAAGTACACCATAATGTGCAGTAGGAGCAAATGTGAAGAGCGGCGATTCGTCTGCAGTGACACCATTTGTTATCGATTGATAACCGAGGATGATTACCTGAATCGAATGAACGAAAGTTGCATACCGGAAATATTAAAAAGGGACATTTTTTACAACATATTTTTTTTAAAAACGTTAGGAATGAAGAATGTCTGTTCATTCGATTTTGTCACTGCTCCAATGGTGACAGCTTTGAGGAGATGCTTCGAGATGCTTTACATTTTAAAACTCATGGACATGGATGGAAATGTAACGGATAAGAAGTTAAGTCTCTTGATTTGTCATCTACCCCTAAAATTTAAGTATAGCATATTTCTGCTAAACAGTATAAAGTACAGATGTGTGTACGAAGTGGTAGTTATTGTAAGCATGCTAATTAACGAACCCATCTTTTTATTTAACCATAAAAATGTAAATAGAGTGAAAGCTATGCGATTACCTCTGATGGCTGAAGAAAGCGACCTTTTGAGTTACTATAATGTATTTCAAAATTTTGAGAAAGCAAAGGATAGAAAAAGGTTTTGCTATGATAACTTTTTAGCCTATAAATCGGTTAAAAAGGCCATTAATTTTTTTTATAGATTAAAAAGAATATTGCATAATTTCGGCATAGAGATGGAGAAGTCAAATAATGTGGAATACATATTGAAGGCAAAAATATGTTCCTTCTTTTATAACGTTTCGAAAGTCGTAAGTGATAATTCGTATAAACTCTTAAATGGGAGAGGTGCCAATGAGTTATTGTACCTCGATCAGCTGTCTGTGTTGAACGAATCGGAACAACGAAGGAGGAAGTTTATCGTGTACACCGATGCTTATTCGAATAATGAATCCAGAATTCTTGTGAGACACGCATCTGTTATTGATCCCTTATGGCTGATCACTGAATGTCCATCTTACTTTTCCAATAGACATTGTATGAAGCTCGCGGGGATGGAAGCCTGAAGGGTTGGGGCCGCATTTGCACTTTTCCATAACTGCGAGAGCGCAAATGGGGGATATATCTTCCATTGATAGGAGTCTCAACAATGGGGCGTACATTTGGGTGATTTTAGCGGCGCATACTGAGGCTTCTCTACCTATTAGCACCCGTATGTAACCATCAAAACGTTGCACAAATGATTAAAATTTTGTGTTACTATTTGTAAAAACTTCGATGAGCTTTCACCAGAGCGATTCCTTTGGAGCTTCCGTCAAATCACATCTTCTTTGCGCTTATCTACCGGTTGGCAGCCTTGCACAGATGTAATACATTTTTTGGTTCACAATTTTGAAAGGGGCATTTTGGCGCAGTTGCTTACCCTACTTTTTGGTTTTTTCCTACGCACTTCAAGGAACCCCCATTTTGTGTTCCCAATTTTTTTTCAAAATGTGATACATTTTTCCTCGACAATTTTTAACTTCAAATGGCATTATCTATACATATGTGGTTATCAATTCTGTTGGTGATTGCTCAAGTGTGCGGTTCGTTTTTATTGCCGAAAGGGACTTTTCCGCCAAAAAAAAAGGTGCAAAAAATATCATAAAAAATGGCCTAAAAAAGGAAAAAAAAAATTGAAATCACCCTTTAATATATGTGGAGATTTTATTATTTCTTCTCACATCGCTGTAGAAACCTTTTCCTACCTGGGGAGGTGCTAAAAATACAAAGGCGTTTTTAATTTTTACTCTTTTATTAGAAATACCAGCTTCAGGAACTGATTGTGCTTTTTGTGAGAGTGGGCAAAATGCCCCCCAAATCAAACACTTCATTAGCATAACGATGGAAACAGGCAAAATAAGCACAAAATGGTTCGTTTTTTTTTCTATTTTTTTTTTTTTTTCTGCGTTGATCGTCGTTGGAGAATGAGTGACAGGGCTGCTTAGCACACGTTGTATAGTACCATTTAACAACATACGTGCCATTTTTTTTTATCCTAAAAAGGTGGGGAGGAAGGATTTCCCAAAGTTGCAAAAATGTAGTCCATATACGTATGCCGCCTTTTTGTAAGTAGATAAATACGTATATGTGTAAGCTGCCATAGCCCCTCCCTGTGACGTACCCAAAGCTGAAGAAGAACAAAATGAGCGTCATAAAAAGGATCTTGAGCAGGCTGATCATGAACAGAACAAACAAGGGGAAGAACAATTTCTCCCTGTTAGAAAAGAAAGAAAAATTGGAAACCCCATACTTATATTTGTCCCTATCCGCCTGCATGCTTGGATTATCCTTTGCCTTCGTCCCACTGTACCAGTTGTTTTGCCAATCAACTGGATACGGTGGAACCATACAAAATAAAATCGACATCAGAAAAGTTTTGGAGAAGAAAAACGCAAATAATAAGAACAGATTAATTGAAGTAAACTTTACGAGTCAGTCTAATATGCCATGGGTGTTCGAACCAGAACAGAAAAAAATAATTGTAAAACCTGGGGAAACGGTGTTAGCATTTTATAAAGCAAAAAATTTGCTTGACAAACCAATTATAGGAATAGCTCTCTACCATGTGCTTCCTGACGAGGCAGGTTTATACTTCAATAAAATTCAGTGCTTTTGTTTTGAAGAACAGATGCTAAATGCGAATGAAGAAATTGATTTGCCAGTTCTGTTTTTCATAGATCCCGACATTTTAAATGATTCTAGATTAAAAAATTTGGAGAAAATTACCCTGTCGTATATTTTTTTTGAGTCTGACTCGGAAATCCCCGAAGAATATCAGCACCTTTCAAGGGCAATCGCACCGAGGAAGAAACCCGAAATTCAAGTCATTTGAATTGGGCCATGCTCGTAGAGCAGTGTGCTACAAATGTAGCAGTTTTTCAAAAGCGGCTTCATTTTCGCGCTGAAAATGGGACGTAAAATTGGCCTATATTTACCATAAGGCATGTGCTTATTTGTCGGTGAATGTGGAAATATAAGTAAAAAAAAAAAAGGAAGAGAAAAAAAAAAAAGGGGTTCTCTGTTTTCCCCCGTTTAGTTATCATCTGTCTTGTGTGTTATCCTCCACGTTACACATTCCAGTTGCGGGATTTTTCCAAAATGGGTGGAGAGTTTATTTAAATGTTGGGTGTGCGCAGCGGCTTATATTATCGTACTTTTAAAGATTCCTAAATGTATACATGTATATATGCGAATTTAGCAGAAGAAGCCATCCTTATAGGGGAGATTATTAAGCAAAATGGTGAGGAGCCCACATGGGCGGCAAAACACTGATGTACGAACATGCACAATAGAGCCGACAACGGAAACGTTTTGCGAATGAAGAAAAAAGAACAAAAAAAAAAAACAAAAAAGAACAGAAAAAAACAAAAAAGAACAAAAAAAACAAAAAAGAACAAAAAAAACAAAAAAGAACAAAAAAGGACAAAAAAAAATACTTCTTTCATCCAGTTGATGAGAACATGTGCTTATTTTGTAAGTTGCAAAGTACGGATTCACTCGTTTGGTTCCTTCGTCTTCGAATGGTCCAATTTGTAAGTGCCTTCATTTTGCAGAACGGAGAAGATATAATGAATATCTTCATCCACGTTTCCATCGAATGGTTTGCTCTTCCGAGAATTTTTCAGTATATTTCTTAACGACTGGGACTTTTCGTTTACGTCTATACAGTCTTGTAGGCATTCAATTTTGGACATTAATTCTTGCTCAAGTTTTTTTCTCTTATTTAATTCTTCCTTATAGAAGTAATAATTTTTCACTCTCATTTTTTCTGCAGTATCGCCTGTTTTTATTTCATTATCGATTTCTTCTGTTTCTAGTTTTATTTCATCCCTCAGTTTATTTATGTACAATACAAGACTTTTTTCAAATCGTATGAATTTTTCGTTATAAAGTTGATACAATTTGGTAAAACTTTGCATGTCCATTGACTTTAACGCTTTCATAGCTATGTACAATTCGAATAGGGAGATGAGCATGTTGAATGTGCTTTCATTAAACATTTCTGAGGAAAAGATATCCATGGAGTGGTTAAAAATATTTTCAAATTTGTAAGAATGGTCGTTTTGGTTGATGTGGTTGGGTATCTCCGGGTTATCCATTTTGATCGATTTTTTTTTTAATTTTGCTTGGGCCTTTTTTTTTTTTCTCTCTTTTTTTTTGAGATAGCTTAGAACGCCCATTTGTCCTTGCTCTTCACTGCTTTCCCTGGTTTCATTTTTCGCCTTTGAGGATGCATCTTTATTAGATGGCGCATCATCCGAGGAGTTGTCATTCATGACATTTTTATTTCTCTCATGGGCGTGCTTCCTATTTTTTAGGCTTCCCATATGGTTATACGATCCATAGCTGCGACTAATTTTTATTTCTGTGTTTTCAAAGCTGTGTTTCTTTTCCAACGCTTCGATTGGCTCACTGTTTGCGGGGTGGTCCCCACGGGTGTTCGAAGAGACGCTGAACTTTCTTCTTTGCTGATTGATCAGTTCACATTTATAAAATAGAGGAAAGAACACATACTGGTCTATGTTCATTTTTAACTGATCCATGCTTTGTGGAAGGACAACATTGGTTTTATTCATTTTTTTAATCCATGATATGTAAACAAAGGCAAACCTCATGGAAAAGTCGAACCAATTTTCGTAGATCGAACCCATCTTAGATGCACACAAGAACTTGTCGATAATTTCTATTATGGCTGATACAAAATATTTAATATTTTTTTTTCTTCTTTTATCGCTTGCATAATTTGGAAAGAAGGAAAAGAATTTCTTCTTGTTATTTTTAGCTTTATCGCCATTTAAGTCTAGGCAGAATTTGTTTTCAAAAGGCATTTGAAATAGCAAATCTTCATTTTGTTCGTCATACCATAGGAGCGCTACGTTGTGGATGTTTACGGGTAGGTGGTTTTTCTTTATGCAGAACATTTCCTTTTTCTTCTTTTCCACTTCCTCATTATTGTTTACACTTTTTCCTTTGGATAAATGGTCCTTCAAGTTGATGTTATACCTTTTTATGATATTCTCTATGGGTTCAAATTTTATATTTTCCTTAGACTTAATGTTTGTTTTATTTAGACCATCATTATTTGGAGACAGTTTGGATATATTTTTCTTTTGATTTTTACTTAGGAAGAATTTGATTTTATTCATAACTTTGTAGTACAGTTTATAGTTATTATGCTTAATGTTATTTTCCCCATACACAGCTGTCTTTATACTTATAAAATTTTCTGTGTGGATAAAATGTCTAGATAAGATAATTTCTCGGATCACTTTGTGGAGCATATAGAGGTGGTAAAAGAGGATAATCAGGATAGGGATAAAAAAAAACTTCTCATAGTTCCAGTAGAAACTTCCCCAAATGGTTAGGGCAACGAAAATGTTTAGGACATTCCCAATGCACAAAGATATGTTGAGGATGTTGAAGGATCTTCCATCAAAGGGGTTGGAATAAATCTCCAGGATGGAGAATGTTGTTAATATGACCGTGATTAGGATGACATAATACAATTCGTAGTGTATACTGAAAGTTATTAGTAACACCAAAATGATATTTTTCAGGATAAATATAAATTCGAAGATTTCCCTTCCTTCTTTATACCCTGCTAATAAATTGGACAGTAAAATGTCAAACAATTTATACTTATTGCGCTTCGAATATAGGGTTATCAATAGTGTAAAAATGCCAACATAGAAGAATAAGGCCAGGATAACTACCAAAATTCCTGTAAAGAAGGAATTATCAGAAAGGGTACACTTTTGCGTGGTCAAATAAGATAAGTAAAGCTCCGATTCTTGGGACTTGTATTTTATCGGTTTACAGAATGCGAGTTGAATCACTTCCATAAGTACGTAGGGTGATGATAGGGCAATCAGCAAAATGTAACAGGGGAATGTGTCGTGTAAAAATGTCAGGAGTCTCCTTCCTAACTTTTCATTTCTTTTATGCATAAATCGCCAGGGTCCGAAAATCTTCTTATTATAAATATACTCAACCGTTTCGTTTAGAAAAATATCGTACATTTTTTCGTCACTGTTTAGGTATTTTAATTCGTACTTTGGGCATTCCCCATTTTGATTGTCTCCATCTACATTATGATGAAGGACATCGTCTTCACAAGACACTTGGACATGTTTTTTGTTCGTCCGATTAGGAACATCTGGAGCGTTTTTATCAATCAGGGTGAATTTGTCATTTAGTTTCCCCAGGTTTTCCTTATCACTTGAGCCATTTTTTTCCAAATCGTGCGTTACTGTCGAATGGTTGCACGAATCTTGGTCGTCCTCCTTCGTTTTGTTAGACACGTAAATTTTCGATTTCTTTCCCTTTTTGGGAAATGCTTTTCCGTCCGGCTCATTCGTTAGGGAATCCAAGTCGTATTTCACCTTCAGCTCCGGAATTGTCCACAAGAGGTACTCAAATTTCTGTATCTTCTTTCTGCAGATAAATTTGTACACGTGAAGGATAAAAAACATGATGAGCGTTATAGAAACGGCGTCGAAGAGGGGGGTAAAGATATTCACATACTTTTGTATGTACCAGATTTCGTTGTAGTGCACATCTGTATTGTACGAGTGGAAGAAGCAGCCAACCCTCAAGTAATACGAAAACATTTTCAAATGGGAGAGAAACACGCTTTTGTAAATGTGCCAATATTTGGTAATAAATAAATTGGCTGCGGGTGAAAAAAATCCATATGCCACAAGGGTAAAGGAGCTATTGAACCAAATTTTCATCAGAATACCACTTATGTACAATTTGTTGAAACAACTATTATAGTTGAGTGAAACGATAAGAATAATGATTACATAATAAATCATTTTTAATAATATCATAAGGAATATTTCGTTGAAAAAATTTTTACATCTGTGACACTTGGACTTGAAATGACTAATGTCGTAGCCCTTTTGACAATTATTGCATTGGTATCCTGTTGACCCTTCCTGGCACAGGTTGGTTATTGTTCCTAGACACCTATCAGGTATAGTACAAACATGAATGTCTGGCAATCTTTCAAATTTGTTGTTTTTTTTTCTCAATTCTTTTGCCTCTTCTATGTATTTATTGAACATTTCTTCGAAGGAGTATTTCATTTCGTTACTTCGTAGAAGGGGAGGGGTTGATCTTGGTTCAAGCTTAGCTAGTAGGGTAGTCGGCACCATTTCTTTTAAATAAGTAGAAATACCATTCGTATGATTGTTTGGGATCATCTCGTTTGAATTTTTTACAGTTTTTCTATCCTTCTGATCGTAGTTCAAAAACGAGATCGCATTTGTCTGGTGGAATAGAACATTATGTGCTTCGCCCCCTTTGACTGCGTCTGTTGCCTTCTTATTCTCATTCTTTTTTTTTAAGGCTTCTATGAATTCCATATTTAGATACATATCATTGCTTTTTTGGAAAAAGAAGTAATTCCTGCTTTCCACATTTTTCTGAATAAACAGGAGTAAATTGTAATAAGGGTAGAAATATTTTAACTCGTCATTATCCTGTAGGGGGTTCCAATCACTGATTGGGTGTTTTTCTTTATAGACTGCATAATGTCCGTATAGCGGATATGGATTTTCATGGTCTAAAATGTCTATATTGTTATATTCCCTGTCTTTTAGAAGATGGAGAAAGAGGTCAATATTGAAGCCTCTGTTACATACGGCTCCTTTGGGGCATGGTTTGCAACTTTTGGTGGGTTTCCCACTTTTGGCAAGTCTTCTACGTTCTGGGGGGTTAGTAATATTCTCGACGTTGTTGTCATCTTCTGTGGTGACCAGATAATAATTGTTTTTACAGAAACATTGGTTTTCGTATGACGAACCTATAAACGTTGAGGAGAAGTGTGGACAGACCCCAGAGCAGCTGTTATCATATTCATTTTCCTTGAATGTATTTGGAGGACATGGGATGCATTCTACTTTTTTATCTTCTGATCTTCTTAAAAATTTTCCATGAATGCATATGCAGTTATTTATTGAGCTTCTCTGTATTATTCCTTTTGGAATGACTAAATCCTTGGGGCATTTTTTTGGCAAAGTGTGAAATTGGCCTTGGAAACGTTTGTTGTTGAATATGATATCCGATTCGAGTCCTCCTTCGCAGTAGTGATTATCGAGAGAGCATGGCTTACATACCGCTATCTCACGCTTTAACGTTTGATTAGTTCCTTCATTAACTTCTATCCTGTTTAGGTTATTCAAGCTGATTTTCACTATTTCTGTCCTGTAATATACGTCAGTTTGTTTCTTTTTTTGCACAATAAAATATTGATCAATAATATTTTTGTAGTTAATTTTTTCCGAATTGATAAAATTTTGCAACGTGTCAAAGGTGAGATAATTTCCTGGAGTACAAGAACAATCGTTAATACTGGTTGATCCTATATTTACCGTTGAAAAGGTTAGGGGGCAATTTTCGCACTTGAAGTTTCCTACGTAATTTTTGTATGTCCCTCTATCGCATACCGCACATCTAAGCGTCGCATTTCCGACATAGGAGTAGCCTTCCTGGCATAGGCATTTATCCATATGCCTTGCCAGAGTAACTACCGTTTTTGAGTTATTTGGACAGGATATCAAGTAAGGGGTGTGATTGCCTGGACAGAATTTCCCCATAAAGCATCCAGCCACTTGATATTGCTTATACAGTAAAAATTTTTTGTCTCTATCGATAGAGCAGGTAAAAATGATGTTGTTTTTATTTCTTAATATAGAGTCTGTATAAGCTAAAGGAGTTCTGGACACGACCGTATTTTCCATATTTTCATCCAAAAAATTGTCCACATCAGAAGAAATATAATCATATATACTTTCGAAAGAGTAATGCTTACATTTAAAATATCCAACAATTATTTTTTGATTCTGTTTTAAAAATATTTGTGTGTATTCTACCTTTTTCCTTGAGAATTCCACCCCTGTGCAGTAGATATTCGTTTTGCAGCTGTCTACGCAGGACTGTAAATTGGGTTTATACGAGACAGTAAAGTTGGTGCTGCTCTTGAGGTGCAGATTAACGTGGCACGTGACCTTCAGCATCTTATCCGATTCCCAGTCGTAATTTTCTTCAATATTATTCAGTAGTACGGTGTATATGTAAAAGAGGGACGTCCGTTTTAGGAACCCCAAGTTTCTCAAGTGTTTCAAGTTGTATTTGTTATCTTGCGCGTCCTTCGCGTAGTTTTGTCCCTCTGGAGGCAACGGCGCCTCGTCATTTTGCTGCCCCACTGGAAGCAAGGGCGCCTCGTTATTCTGTTGCCCCACTGGAAGCAAGGGCGCCTCGTTATTCTTCTGCCCCTCTGGAGGCAACGGCGCTTCGTTATTTTGCTTCCCCCTCTTGTCCGAGGTTTTATTCACATCGTCGAAAAGCTGCTCAAAATTTTGGTTCAAAAACAACTCATACACGTCGTCGTCGAAGCTTTTCACGCTATCCTGGAAATAGCTGTAAATTCTGTTTTCCGAGTTGATGTCGAATTTATACCTCATGTACTCTATGCCTATGCTCTTGAACATGAGAAGGAAGTATCCCTCCACAGGGAGGCAGTTCAGGATGGACGTGGATCCCTCTGATATTGTGTAGGTGTGCTGTGGGCAGGGAAGACAGTAGTGCTCTGACAAGTTATGGTTAAAGAAATTCTTCGGACATAATTTACAGCTGAGTTTCTTGTTAAATGCGCTTCTCCTTTCATTTATGGAACCATATCCAATTTTGCATTTGCAGTCAAAAATGGAGGAGGCCATTATACCGTTCACAATAGAGTTGATGGGGCATCCTTTTTGATTTTTGGCGAACCCTTCGCAGTATTTGTTACTACACGGTAGACAACTTTCCTTTTTGATATCCATAAAGTACCCACTTTCGCAGAATAGGCACTTGGTTGGTTTGGGCATGTCTACTTCTATTGCAAACGTTTCCCTGTTCGGCTCGTCCTGATTGTTCCCTAAAACGAGTTCGCTGTTAATGTTAAGAGTTCGAAAGTTGGCGTGGTAATTTTCGCGGCCATCTGGGCGGCCATTTTTACGGCCATTGTTATCAAAATAGGCATACTGTAATGTCTTATCTTGTAGGAGGAGGTCCTCATCATAATTGTATATTTTGTCCACCAAACCGTAGTTGTGGTCATTTGGGATTGCAAAAATATTCGTGTCCAAATATTTCGGATCGCACAGGGAGCAGTAGATAACTTGGTCTTTTACCTTGCCAACAGAAGTGCAGTAAGTGCACGATTGATTATTCTCATTGTAGATAAAATTTTCCTTACATACACACTGATTTGCGGATGTGACTGCTTCTGGGGACATTTTGTTTTTTTGACATGGTATCAGTTGATTGTTTCCGGGACAGTAGTAATTTTTGAGACATAAAGAACATTTTCCATTAAGTTCGTAATAGCCTTCACTACATTTACAATTCATTTCGTTGTAACTCTTGGCTCCGTAGATAGTACTCTTTTTGTTAATGGGGCATCCCTTGATACAAATAAAATTACCAGTCGATTTTTTATAATAACCAGGTTTACACTGTTCACAACTGGCAGTTTTTTCTGAATATTCATACCCAGCTGAGCAAAGACAATCTGTTATTAACTTAGATCCACTTTTCAAGGTAGAAGTGTTTTTAAAATGTTTCTTGCAGCTCTCACATTTTAATTCTACGCTATCCCAGAAGGTTCCAATAGGACAACTCTCACACGTTTGATTTGTGTAGTTAAATTGTTTCCCTACGTCACAGTAGGAATATAAATCTTTATATACCTTAACTTGGTGTTGAAAATGTGTTTTAGCAAAAATCTTTAATTGGAAATATCCAAAGTGATTTAATTTTCCAGTTATTACTCCTGTTTCAGTTGATATTTCTAATTTTGTCAATGGATCCACATTTGTGCATAGATCGTTAGAGTTTAGAAAGCAGAAGAAGATGACTGAATCGCTGTATATGTCTATTTCTGGTGCAATATTTAAATCATCATTTGAGTTATAATTTTTTGCAAAAGTGTATTCGAAGGAAATACTAAAGTACTGATCAAATGAATTGAAATGATAATGATAAATGATATTTTCTGCGTTGATATGAGATGTAATTATTAGTAAGTTCTGATCTATTGCTATGACTTTATTCACTCCATTATGTCTGTAGCCTCTCTCCAGCCTTATTGCTTTGACTATTCTATATTTATTTTTACTCAAATCGATAATTTTAATTTCGTTACTTCGTATTTGTGTCACGAATGCTACATTGGTTCTATGTGGGGTGTGTCCAGTTTGCTCCCCACGATATATGGAAAAATTTAATGGGTTTTTTAAAAAGAACTTATGCTCTGCAGCGCTATAGTGTTCCAGTTGTATGATTTTTTTATTTTTCAAATCGTAGCTTAAAAAATTACTCTTTGTAGAATCCAGTATGTAGAGTATATCATCTTGTATGCTAATGAATAGCGGATTTTGATATCCTTTCAAGTCCAGGTGATCCATTTTGTTTGTTAAATAATTGTTCGTTTTCACCACAGTGATTAGCTTTTTAATATTCTTTTCGATCGCTTCGTCGTAAACTGAATGGTCTACAGATTCAGTAGCATCTCTTTTTTTTCTAGAAACGGTGCTGCGCGGTCTAGCAGAGGTTGTGCTGCGTGCAACTGGTCGGCTGACCTGTCTCTTTGCTCTTGCAGGCATCCTGGAAGGTACTATCTGACGGTGCATTTCGTTTTTATTTCCGCTAGACGGGTCTCTTTTCTTCGCATTTTTGAAAAAATCGAGAAAGCTGTACATGACGTTTCTCTTCTTTGATATTTTTTGTGAGCCAAGTAATCCATAGAGGTAGTTGGTCAATCCGTTGTTGTTTACCATTGCTTGTAGATAGCTGTACAACTCCATTACATTTTTGACGAGAATGTTTTCTTCTTTATTTTCTACCGATTGGGGGGGGGATTTTTTCGAATCATCGACAATGGCATTGGCATCTAATTTTATCTGTTCCCCGCGTGAGTTACTGTGGATAGCGCTTTCTTCCACCCTTCGGAGGCGAGCAGTTCTTTCTTTTTCGCTCCGCATATCCCTTCTTAACGTACGAAGATGTAATAAATTTTGATGAGCTTTTTCGATATAGGAATCTGCGCTCCGTTTACTCCTTTTTGTTAGCACTGTGGCATCATTTTTAGCTGCCTCTTTATCCGTTAATAATGTTGTTTTGAAATTTTCCGCATCAACAGGGTAAACAGCACCATGGAAGGGAGCACGCACCAAATGTGTGGTGTAGAAATTGCGACCCTCCTTTGGGTAATAAAGTGTGATCTTTTTACTAGTCGTTCCTTGTTCACCCATGGGAGTGTTCCTTTTGTAGACTCTTAAATCTTTGTCTTGAATGCTTCTTTTCCGTTTCCCTTTGTTGACAATATTAATAGCATTCCCCTCAGAGAGAATTTGAAAGCGCGCAATTCTTCTCAGATTTAAGTCGGTTACGTAGATGTAGTGTTCATCAAAATCTACGTCAACTGGGAATGGCAAATTGTGGTTGGTGGAGAAGGAAAGTTTTGTAACAAGTGCGTAGAAGAATAGATGCGTCTTTGTCAAAATGATAGTTCCCTGTTCCTTACTTTTGCAAGATATTAACTGATGGTTTTGTATTTCTGGGAAAAATTCCTCCAGCTGTTGACTTTTTTCGGAAAATGCTAGTTTTTGCATATCAAGGGTGAATTTAAAACTCCCCTGTCTTTTTATCACATAGGCATCATAAGATTTGTCATTCACACAAACGTTTAGTATAATATTCATTTTTTTAAGATTGGAAGAAATGAAATTTTCATCAAAGAATGATTCAGGTTTTACATAATAATTGTTAATGTTTAAAATTCCTACATCATTGTAAGTGTCTTGTGTCTTATCCAGTACGCACAGTTTGTAAGTATTCCTTTTGTACATAATGACATTTTTAAAAATGATATAATTTCTGTGTATAGTGTACTCTTTATTTTCTACATGGTAGCCATTTGGATCTAGTCTGTAACAGTTGTTGTCAAATTCGACAATATAAAGTGTGTATTCGTGATGGGGGATGTTTTTTCCATGTATCTTTAACTCAAATGTGGTGTCTTTTAACTGGGCTAGGGTTTGATTCTTATAGAATCCCTTTTCGTTCAAATTTTCTATCCTTAAATAATTGTACTTGTGATATCCATCGTACGTATTACCCAGTTGTTCCAGGATTTTATTATTCCCTGTGATGTTTTCGTCTGCGTTACCAAAATATACTTTTAATGCCTTATATAGTAAATACACCTTGGGGGATTTTTTGACATCATAATAATTTTGTTGCACGATAGGCGATGATTCCAGATAATCTCCTTCATAACAACATGCAACGATTGATAAATCATCTTTTAAAACGATATTATCTAGAATGTAGTTAACTGTTGCCCCGCCTTTTCGTCTGTAGTACATAATTTCTTTAGAGTCCGCTTTTATGCCTTCATAAAACTTGGATAATGCAATTTTTATTTTTTTCCTTATTGCTTTAGTTATATAGATAAAAATGTACTTTCCCCCTTGAGCCCTATTGTTGTTGTTATTTTTGTCCTCGTTCTCTACCCCCTCCATATAATCGTCCTCTGTATACCCTTTAAACCTGTCATATTCTTCGTCATCATCATTGTAGTCCTTGTCCTGCTTTCCACCTTTACCTTTTCCACCTTTACCTTTTCCACCTTTACTTTTTCCATCTTTATCCTTGCCATCTCTATGCGCTTTTTCCTTCTTTTCTTGCCTCTTCTTCATCTCTTCGTCCATAAGCCTGTTTATTTCATCATATTTTTCTTTATCATTTTCGTCATCCTCATCGTCCGCGCCGTTTTCGTCGTCTGTCTTATAGACCATGATATCACTACTAAATCCTGAGGGTAACACATCCCTGTCGCTAAAGAGCGCTTCTTCCATAAAATAGTTGTAAAAAAAGGTCCTCCTTGGTTTGATTTTTGAGTATGATTTGAGTAGGTCCTGAATTTTTTCTCTATTTGCTCTTCTCAGTCCCAGATTCTGGCTTGACTCGGATGTAATTCCTGCCTGTCCCAGCACATAATTATGAGTGATAGGATTGTGCGCGCGGGACAATTCACTATATTCTACTTTTCTTAACAGGTAGGTGTTCTTATACCCGTAATAGTAGGAACTGTAGCATACAACGAAGTTTATTTGATTCTTGTAGTGCTTTTTAAAAATGTTCAATATTCTCAGTTTGAAACCAACGTAGTTGAAGGCGGTATTTTTGAAAAAAGGAATAATGCTGCTACTTTGGTTTCTACTAGTATTGCAAATATCTCTATTACTATCGTTGTAGGAATTCATGGGGACGAATTTAATGGAATTTCCATTCAATACATACATATTAATTGTCTGATCAATTTGATCATTCTTATCTGCAACTCCTTTTCTTAACGTATGGTTATGAACAAAACCAATATATGTGTAATTTTTCCTGTCTTTGCAATTTTCGCTATAATAATAGAAGCAATAGCATATTTTTATGTAATTCTCTAGAATATTGGTTATTTTGTAAATTTTAGAAATCCATGTGAAATTATCATTTATTTCCTTAACGATTTTTCTTGGTTTTCCATAGATCTCTATACTCTGCTCCCAATCGATGTGGTATTTCTTGTTATTTATGTAGATGATGTCACCAAATAAGCTTGCACTTGTATCGTCCGTGCATGGTAAGTTTTCCGCAACGAACCAGATTCTGTCATTTATGTGGACCCACTCATTTAAGAAGGAAAAGGAAAAGTACCCATCCATATCTGTGTGAACTTCTAAGAGGCTGGGACTGGACAATTTAAAGAATGCAACCTTGTTTAAATAGTCAACATCTTCACATTTTTCCTTTGAGCACCAACATGCGACGATTCCTTGAGAGAGGAAATTAATAAGTACATTATAAGTTTGCTCATATCCTTCTAACTTTGCAGGAAATGTTAAAAAATAATCCCTCTGATTTATTTCAAGACATAATTTACTCAAATCTTTCATTATATCAATTGGGAAAATTCGAATTGATCCATTTAGCACTTTGGATGTTTTTAATCTAAGGGTAAACGGTTTCATAAAATGTATGATGGAATTCATTTTGGGTTCTGTCAAAACAGCTGTGTGGACTTTAATTTTCATAGAATTTGCAAAATAGTAATATTCATTATCGCACTGTCCTTCTACTAGTTCGTAACAAGTGCACACATGTAAATTGTGGGATTTATCATCGTTTCTATGTGAAGTCATGATGCTATAGTTGTCGGCATCTAAAATTGTTAACAAATCTTTCCATTCGTGCACCGTAACCTTATCTCCTATTTCTTCTTTTCCATCAGGAGCTAATAGTTGTTGAACTGAGTCGGAATAAAAAAATTTTTCACTGTTCCCATAGTTATTTTTGCATACATCTGAATCTCCATAATGTTCATAAGCTAAACGAATTCGTACATTATATTTTGAGTTAAACTGTTTCAATTCCAAATTGAATGGAACACCAGAAACGATTTCGACAACTTTACCATCATGAAAAAGTCCATAGAAGGTAACATTTCCAATGTTATAGTAATACTTGTCAGTAGACCTCAGGAATGCACATATTTCATACGGTTTGTTCACTTCTGGAGGTACAAAATCTATGTTCAAATCGAACGAAACATCTAAAATTTGCTGTAATGTTAAATCGATTTCTTGAGTGCGAATAATTTTTCCCTTTGCTTTTTTATAAATTTGGTTATACTCATTTTTACACTCCTTTGTGTCATTTAATGTGAAATAAATTGTGTCTACTTCTGTTTCTGTGGCGTCAATGTGAGCTCGCAAATATGAGGAATACATTAGAGGATCCTCTTCTTCGTTTTTTTTTTCTTCTTCTTTTTCTTTTTTTTCTTCTTCTTTTTCTTCTTTTTTTTCTTCATTTTCTTCTTCTTTTTCTTCTTTTTTTTCTTCTTTTTCTTCTTTTTCTTCTTCTTTTTCTTCTTTTTCTTCTTTTTCTCCTTTTTTTTTTTCATTTTCTCCGTTTTTTTCTTCATTTTCTTTTTTCTTGGCAGGGCTTTCTTTTTTAGGAATTTCTCTTATTTTTTTAAATTCCATTATATTTAAAAAATGTTTTATTTCAGAACTGAACACAGTTTGCATTTTTATAGGCGCATTACATGGAACTCCTGAAAGACAAACGTATTCTTTGTATGCTGTGAAACCTGGAAGGAAAACCATAGCTTGTATTACACCTTTATGTAGTAATTGCTTAAACTCTGAGCTGAAAGTGAAATCTTTTACTGCCGTGAATCGGGTATTAAAATGTCGCAAATCGTGTTTTAATTTTTTTTCGTCATATAGTGTGTGATCCAATTTCAATTCCAGAGGCTTAAAGTGGTTTTCACTGTCACAGGCAACGTTCTCTGTTACTTTGCATGTGCATAGATTATATTTTTTGGGGTATTCCAATTCTTTGTAGAGATTCAAAATGTGTTCTTCCTTATTTAACTGTGATTTTAAATGAAAATGTTTGATGTCCCGGCAATCATCTTCTACTAAAAAAAAATACCCCTCAGTGTTATAATTCATAAAGACAGCACTTGGTGGCTTGTTTATTTGCACTATTGGCTTAATCGAGTGATCCAAAGAAACAACTTCTGTTATCAGGAACTGCATATTTTCTAGACGATTGCAGTAATTTCCTCTATTTCCGTAACACCAACATAGGGCATATTTTTTCATTATCGGTTTCATGTTTTTGCATGTCAACTTATCTTCACTAGATACTGTACAATCCTGAACATTACTAAAAATTTCATCTTGGATACTACCATATATTTTTTTCAAGTTCCTTAATCTTCCGTAATTATCGCGCAGGAAAGAGTAGAAATCACAGGTTGAATATTTGATTACTGTAATTTGTTCCTGATTAATATTCTTAAAATAACCATCAAGCGTAATTTCTGTTTCGTTCGTAGCGATAATTTGAAAAAGTTGTCGCGATGCACCTACGTAATGAAGTGTGCCAATATAATTTTCCTTAAAGGATTCCCCAATCTTTCTGGAGTAAATTATTTTATAAGGTCCTGGATTAATTTTATCTATGATATGCTTTGAGATTATGAGGTAAAGGTCAGAGTTCCTTATGCCTGATAGTATCTCTGATGTAGTGCTTTTTCTTGCTTTAGTTTCTCTATAGGATATCATGATTCTTTCTGTTTCCGTAATTTCAACATATATAGTGTAGTGATACCATAGCAAAGTGAATTTTGCTTTGTGCCAACAGTTAGTGCCTCTATAGCAGTAAAAATTAATTTCTTCATGAGGTCCATCAAAAAGGAGTAAACTGGTGAGTCTATGATTCTGCATTGTTTCATATGCGCAGTTATACAGATCTATAGAATTCTTAGGATGCCAGTTGGTAACATTTCTCTTAGCTATTTTTGGTTCCCAGTATTTCCCTGTCCTCCTAACGGGGTTGTGCAAATTATAGATACTTCCGTAGTGTGTGTAGGTGAGAACCTCCTTACAATAATGACATTCTTTTATAAAAAATATTTTATAATATTTTAAATGGTCATATTCTATATTTAATTCGATTTTACTGGAATTGTTGTTTATGTCAATGTCCATTTTTTTATACAGATTTATCTCCCCATTTTGGTAGGAATATATGTTGAGAGTTTTTTTGCCCCTGCAGAGGTTTTCATATTCGATATTTTTTATTTCGAATTTCTGATACGGACTACTGATATAGGTTAAGAATAAATCCGCTTCTATGGAAAAGTTAAATTTCTGATCTTTGTAATTTCCACAGATAACCAAGTCTTCATTTAGTATGTTACTGTTCATCTGACTCACATTGTAAAATATACTAAAGTCAACAGCGATTATATTTGAAGCGTCGTTACTTAACTTATCATTTTTTCGCGACTTAATGTCTATATCTGCGAATACGTACGTTCTACATGAAGTTCCAACTTTTGCTGCCCACTGGTTTGAGAAATTGTCTGACTCGAATTTCACAGTAAAGTTACAAGGGGAAAACAGCTGACAAACATTTTTTTTCTTTCCTGGCGGTATTATTTCATTGTTTATATAAATGTTTGTAGACAAATCGTAGATACTTAAGCTGTCCTTTTCGTTACACGTTTCTGCAAGCGAACACATGCATACGTAGTACCTGGGTTTATCTAAATTGATATTCTCTTCCACTTCGTACTCTGCTCTTGCGTCTACAATAATATTCTTGTGAAAGATTTCCTTAGGATAATTACCCTTGGAATGTATAAAAAAGCCCTTACTCGAATTACAGTCTTCATCCTCTTTTATGGCGAATTTTAGAAGCCTGGTGTTTATGTCTTGATTATATAATGATACAATGGCGCTAACTTCTAAAGGGTCTAGGTTATTGACTTTAAAGCCAAATAACTGTTCAATTCTGACAGAACCGATGTCAATATAATTAATTTGCTTCACGCATAGCCTCATAGTAAGGGCATTAAAATCGGCGTTAAAATTTAATTGCTGATTTTTATGCATAAACTCATTATCATAATTATTTTTCCAAATTCCATATTCATTTATGACTATTTCTTCGTGAGAGCATTCGTATTTAACATATGGCCCCGAGTAGTTATGATATTTAATGTTTTGCCAAGTGTTGTTCTTAATTACAGAGTTAATGAGCGAATAGTATATGTTGTACTGAGGATTCTCCACCAATTCAATGGATAGTAGGTGACGTAATTTGGTATTGTCCTTTGTACACAAAGTGTTTTCTTGATTTAGAATTTTTTCACTAATTATGTATAAATATCCGTCTTCTTCTTTTAGGTAAGTGGTTATATCATTCTTTTCCACATTCCTATTATTGCAGATGGTTCGGGACCATGAAAAAGTGGTGCTTTCTACATTATTCATAATGTATTGAATTTTTCCCATAGCGGTGTATGTTTTTATAACGCATTCTGAGCCTATAAAACATATAATGGGTATATATGTCTCTATAAAAAATAGGTTACCTACTTTTTGATATTTCTTATCCTTCAGTATGCAGATATCGTGGTAGTATGCCTTTTTATCATTTTTAAAAAAGAAGATATAATGATCCTCACTAAGCAGGTGATGATCTTTGTAGATAGGGCTGCTTATAACTGCGCAGTCTGGTTTAAGTACCAACGATTTATCCATTATATATGGTACATTATTAAAAAGGCTGACACTAATTGTTATGGGGCAGACTGGATTATCGAAAGTGCAGTAGAATGTATTATTAGCAATTGTCTTATCCGCCATAAAGGTAGTAATTAGTAAAGTTAAATCATTCGTTTTGAAGCAGATGTAATAGGTGCTATGCTTTAGCTCAGGAAAGTTCGTTATATGTCCAAGGTAACCTTCGCATTCCATTACTTCCACATTTTTAGTTAATGGTGTTTCTAAAACAGTTTCACATTTTTCATTTTCCGAAATGAAAAAGACGTCTAAGAGGTTAAAATAATCTACGAATTTTTTGATGTTATTATCGTCGCAATTGGCTATCTCTCCTACTGTTATCAGCTCATAGTTCTCTTGAACTATTTGATATGGTCGATCGTTTTTCTCAATAGAGGACACAAGTGAGCTGGAAAAAAAAAAAAAAAAAAAAAGGCGAAAAAAGGACCATTAAAAAGTATGTATTTGTTGTGGAAAGGTATGGTGAAAGGGATCGCAAGCGTTGGGAAACACTATTGCGTGCGCTTATGCAGAACGCGCTGGCTGTATACATGTTGGTGTTACCACTTATAATTTCGATCCTTAATGAAGATTTTTTCATTCTTCTTTTGCACAAATAGAAACTTGTCTTTGTCATTTTTTTTTATGAGCACCTTTCCATTATCATCATTCGGTGCATCACAATTTTGGGTTGTCCTGTCCTCAGAAATTAGATAACGATCACTAATTTCAAACTTGGGCGTTGTTTTGCGATCATTTTCCAACTTCAAAATGGATATATACTCAGTTTCAAACTGTTCCGCATTAAGGACGGCCTTCTCACTGGGATAAGTAAAATCTGAAATGCGTATAGTAGCATTTATATTCTTTAAGAAAATTACCAGCCATATGGTAAAAAAGGAGAGGTTCAAAACGTGACCCTTTTTTTCATATTTCATTTTCTCTTTAACATTTAATTCTTTGCATTTTTTTTTAGTTGCACTGGCATGTGCATAAATCTATACACGGGTATACATAGATCTGGGCATGTACACCCTCACATAGGTAATATATTTAACCAGCTGAGAATAAGATCACATTATAGGAGCTTATGTTTTTCCTCATGGAAGGGATATGTTTCAGAAAAGCTGTGCAAGTGCTTATTTCATGCTTTCTTTCTTTCTTTTTTTTTTTTTTTTTTTTTTTTTTTACTGCATATGTAAGCCGACAACGAGATGTTACGCCAGAAAATTTTTGTGTGGAGATATTTCAAGGAAAAAAATATGTTCCCGTCCCAAAAGTTGTGCAAAATTAACGGGCGCACATTTTCTGCGAGACGGGTGCCTTGAGAGGGGTAAACTGGGATGCATAAATGGGCGAATAAATATACATGTCTATATGTGCGTATATCTATACATGTGGACAGCCTTAAAGAATTAGCAAAAAAAATTTCATTATAATAAAAATTATATTTCACTTTTTACGGCATTATTCAGAAAAAAATAAACCCATGGAACATTTTTTTTTGTCTTGTCCATAGAAATTATTTTTGAGTTGTTGTTCTGTGGGGCTAAAAATTGCGCGCCCTCAATACTGCTTTGTTCTATTATGTGTTGCTCTGTTTTGCCTTTCGTTTTTTCATTTTATGTTCTATTTACCTTTTTGTGCTTTTAGACCTCTGAAGAGCCCTTTTGAGGTAACAGAACATTTTTCACGCTTTTATAGGTTGCTGCTCTTAAGATCACACAGGTGCATGCAAAGGGAAGGCTCAACTTGTTGGACATTTCTTGCACTAATTCGCGTTTTCCGTTGCGAGTTTCTTCTATTTCTTTTTTCTTTGGCAAGTAAAAAAATAAAATAATAAAATAACTCCTTTTTAAGCATGTGTTCATTTTGCTATTCGAGTCTTTTACGAAATATGCTTATGGTATCGTCAAGCAGAATTGAGCTGTGCACCATTTCGCAGGGGGTGCCTATTGTAACATAAAAATAGGAGAACGTATAAAACGGAAACATAAACATATTGCTCACACGTTTATTTTATTACATGTTTTTGGTGAAAGGCTATTTCGAAATTGCAAACCGTTTCTACAACTGTTTTTGTTTAAATGTTTTTAAAAAAAAGCGCTCACCCTTTCAGTTTTAAGTTAATTTACCTGTAGGACTTTTTTTTTGGCCCTGGTTTTATTTTTTTACATTTTTTAAAAACGCCACATGTGAGAGAAATTACCTTATATAGGTAAATTACATTTTTTTTTTTTTTTTTTTTTCTACCCCTTATTGAGGTGAAATAAAGCTCAAATGAGAGGTAAATTATTTTTACGAAAAATTGCATTCACTTTTTTATAGTAAATTCGTCGTGGTGTCTCTATAGATTCACGATTTTTTTTGAAAAAAAAAGGAAAACAGAAATGACTGATGTGCAGAAAGTTTTGTCTCTGCGCGAATTTGCGTTTTAAAAAATATAATCTCTCACGAAACCGTTCGTAATTAAGTAGTCGTGATTGACAGAATGGGTAGGTGGACCAAATTATTATATAAAAAAATGGGTTATTAACGAGTGGGAGGCATAATTTTAATTCGTATGTGCAATATGAATATGTGCAACTTTGGTTTGAGACGTGGAAGACATATAAAAGCGTCATGGGATGAGGAGAAGAAAACGAAAGTAATTGCACATACCTAAGGAATCGAAAAAATGATTCCACAGAAAGAACTTTTTCATAACACAAAAGGCGAAGCTCTTTTACGCATGAGCAAAATAGGTATTCTTAATTAATGACAAAGCGAAGGAAACGTCTTTTTTTTTAAAAAAAACTGTGAGTTAAAAAGGAAGGCTATACAATAGGAACACCCCATGGTGCGCGAAATTTTGTTTTTACACGTGGGACAGTGCGGAAATCAGCTCGGACATGAATTTTGGTCTGTAGCAATTAAGGAACAATTGAATAAAAAAATAAATGAGAAAAAAGAGCTAATAGGAAAATACAGTTTTATGAACGATTCAGTGACCTCCTTTTTCGAAAATGAGAGCGAAAATTTTAATTTAAATGAAACAGAAAGTTTGAAAGCACGGGCTATATTAATAGACACAGAAACGGGGGTAGCAAATGAAATTATGAAAAGTTCTCTTTCTTCTTATTTTGACGAAAGTAATATATTTACCCAACAATCGGGGGCGGGAAATAATTGGTCTCAAGGGTATATGCATTATGGAAGAATGTATGGGAATTTAATTGACAACATAATTAGAAGGAATGTAGAAAAATGTGATTCGCTGCAATCATTTTATATCACATCATCATTAGGGGGTGGAACGGGTTCTGGATTGGGTTCTTATATTTTAGAAATACTCTCTGATAATTATAGACAGATAAAATTTAGCAATTGCGTCTTTCCATCAGCTTGCGATGATGTGATAACATCTCCGTATAATAGCTTTTTTGCCTTGACGAAAATTCACGAGTTTTCGAATTGTGTTTTACCCGTTTCAAACGATGCGCTGTTAAACATTTTAAATAGTAAAAAACTGAAAGATAAAGAAAATGACAAAAATGATTATTCAAAGATGAATAATATAGTGGCTAATGTAATTGTAAACTTAACAAGTTCTATGCGATTTGAAGGATCATTAAATGTGGATATAAATGAAATATGCACAAATTTAATTCCTTACCCTTTTTTTAATTTTATGCTATCTTCTTTAAGCCCTTGCACAGAAACGGAGAATATTAGAACATTTGACCATTTATTTAGAAATGTCTTGAATCATAATAATCAAATGCTTATTGCCAACCCAAAGGATGGTCTCAGTTTGTCTATGGCTTTTTTAATTCGGGGAAATATCAACATTTCAGATGTTACGAAGAATATATTATTAACGAAGAATAATTTGAATATTTTACGGTACAATAAAGATGCCACCAAAATAGGTTTATGCAATGTGCCGCCTATAAACCAGCCATATAGCTTACTGTGTCTAATTAATTCGTGTGAAATACGAAACACCTTTCTACAAATTTTGGAAAGATTTAATAAGTTATTTAAAAGGAAGGCACACCTACACCACTATTTGGAATATCTAACTATGGATGACATTTTAGAATTTAAGGAGAAAATACAGAATTTGATTTATGAATATAGCTATATTCAGAAAAATTCATTTTGTTCACCTAAATTTTTAGAGAAAAATACCATCAATAATTTGGGGTATGACGTGTGTGAGGAGGAGGATGTGAAGGGAGAGAACTGCACCAGTGAAGACAACGCTTGTCCGCACTATTTGAGGTCTAAAATGAGCAAGTATGAGACACGTGCCAACTGGTTTGACTTTAAAAGTAGACCCATTGTTTGAGGTAGACCCATTGTTTAAGGTCAACCCATTGATTGAGGTAGCACCATTATCTGAGGTACCGCAGCGAATTCGAATTATGCGCGTTTGTTTGCACATTGGCCCAAGTGCTTATTGCGCTAGCACTATTGGGATTACTCCCCCGCTGTACTATTTCTGTGTAAAAACTGTATATTTTAGTAATAATGCGCTTAAATTTGCCACTTTATAACAATTTTGCACCTGCTTCCGTTAAACGTGCTAAGAAAAAATTTAAGGTTAATGCGAAAGAAATGGGCACACAGATGGAACTTTTTTGTTCATAAGAAAAGGCAAGTCTAGCAAATAAAGGGACAACACTGGGGTGATGTGGATATGCACCCGTACCTACATATATGGGAGCATGTGGAAAGTGGAAGGGTCATTATAAATTAGCAACCAGGAATTGTTTATTCGGTTTTGCGTTAATGTCTACAAGAGGGGGTTCAGCCGATTGTTCTGCATTTTAAAACGTCTATTAAATGATAATCAAGTTATTATAAAATTAGAAATGGATGTACGCTATGTATCAGTACGTGTCTACTGCTTTCTTTTTCTTCTTAAGGATTCTGGGCAATTTGCCTACGCGTAGACAAGCCATATTATGTGAAAAAAAAGAAACCAACAAAAAAGAACAAAAACGGAAAGTGCCTTCACAAATATATGCAATGATAACATGAAGAGGAGTGGAAGTACCTTACCATTAAGCGTTACGCTGTGTCTTTGTAGAGGGGAAAAGAGACCATTTCTGGCAACTAAAGTGGGAGGAAAAAATAAATACGAATGACATTTAACGGTTAATCAGAGGGAAGACCTTTTCTTATGCCTGTCTAGTTCTCGTTAAAACTGAAAATCTTGAAAAAGGGAGAAACTATTAATTAATTAGTGACCGTGTGAAAATACTACAAAATGGCTTTAAAGAAAGAAAGGCACGACGTTATGTGGCAGTAAAAGTGGCGAACGCGTTGCAGTGTTGTATGTGGGTTAAGCCCTGGTGTTTCAACACAACCCATTTCGATTACATAAAAAAAAAAAAAAAGGATTTCCTTTAACATACATATATATAGAGTTATTTTCGAATTTTTCCAAAATGTGTATTAACGGAGAGGATCTGATTAATTAATTTATGTGTAATAGCCTTTTTTGAAGAGAGAATTGTTCGTTTACATGCGTAATCTTCGCTTCTGCGGGAGGAGTTTTTTCCGCAAAAGGAAAGACGTTCCAAGTGAACATTCCTACTACAAGGATTATAACACCTTGTATTATGAAGAAGTGCTCACTACATGTTAGCGCTGAAAATTATGGGGTAATAACTGCTCCCATAAATGACCTATTAAAAAAGGTATCACCGATTCAGTATAAATGGTCGCGGAACATAACTCCCGAAATGTGCTAATTAAAAACTTATGCGTGTTTTTAACATACAGCTGATGTGGGCAAAATGGATTTTTCAATAATCAATGGAAGACACGCGTATCCATATAGTTAGTGTCCAACAAAACGAATGTTTCGATTTGATGCTTAAAAGAAAGGGGCGCCACTTTATGGGCCAAAATTTATGGTTTGGATAGACCCATTTTGGATATGATACGAATAGCATAACGATTAACATTTAAAATTTAGTAATAAGAAGTAAAGAAAAAAACAGGCCTCATGAAGCACCAATTTTACTTTTGGTTTTTCCGTGGCATACAAAGGGAAAGAAAAATGCCTAAAACGGAATGAAGTCACAAAAGACTAAGAACAAAGGAAGAACATAACAAAAAACAGAAGATATTTTTGAATTGTAAAGCCCGCTAAAGCGTGAAGCGCACAGAGAAAAAGTTAAAACACTTCAGGTTGTGAGATAAGGGGTGCAGGGACATCTTACGTTAATCACAAAATGTCAGTAATTTGTACTATTTAGTGGCCCGAGAGAAACATAATTGAGTTAATGCCCAAGCGTATTCTACATCCGATAACGCTGTTTTTAAGTGTTTATACCTGTAAGTATGTAAAAGTTTTGCAGACATACCTGATTTTATAAACCCCAAATTGAAGGAAAAAACTGTACGTGCCACATAATTATGTTTCTGCATCATTTTTTATGCTCTTTTTACAAATTTTTGAAAAGTAAAAAATTTTATTGTGTATAATAATTAGTGGCAATTAAGCAAAGGCGACTTTTCCAGTTTTGTGAAATATGCTTTTTATCAGAACAATTCATTGACGTGTTCGTTACATGTTCATGAAGTATAAATATACTTAAAAATGTGCGTTTTGAAGCCTCTATAACATACAAAATTGAAATTGACATGTTACTGCGTGGAAGATCCTGTTTATCTGAGCATTTTTACCTTCCAAGGAAACCCTGTAAAAAAGGAAAAATCGAAGGGGTCACTACCGTATTAGTCACATTTTGTTTCGGGAATTCGAACAAACACACAAAATTGCGCTTTCCGAAGTTGGAGGATAAATATCATATGCTGTAGTTCAGAAAAAAAATTGAAAAAAAACTGAAAAAAACTCTGTAGAAGATATAATATTTATGCTTCTTCGTAGTGACATTGTTGACAAAGTTGAGAATCTGCAGTTTGTCCCCCTTGTGGTTTCCGAATTAATTTGATACAGAACAACGTTCTGAAATATTTTCCATTATTACAAACGGAAGTGAAGAACGAAGTGGTGACTATTGTTTATTACCAGTTGTACGCATAGATATATTTATTTAAGAGTATAATTGGGAAATATGGCTGAACCAAATTCAACTACACCTGGATTCCCACTTGGATCCCCTACTTCCACATTGAGCACATTACTTCAAAGTGCAGCTTCTCATATGAACTCTAGTGTTTCATCAACAAATTCTAGTATATTAAGCACACCTGTTACTACTTCTTTGTTCGAAGCTTCATCTACAGACATGACTACTAATATTACAACTAATGGATTAGTTGCCAATTCAACTGTATCAAGCACACCGTTTAGTGATTTCTTTCCGGAAGATGGAGCTACATTTGAAACTATTACAGTAGATGGTGTTGTTGGTGAAGCAGTAAATACAACAATTGGAAACGTTACAAGTTCAGAAACGCCAGGGAATATTACTGAAGTATTCACTTCTGCTTCATCCAGTATATTTAATGCTACTCAGAATTCTACTTTTATTCCAGATTCTTCCAATTCAACAGTAGGAGGCTTTATATCTACATTAGGCGAAGCTATCACACAGTCGGCAAACGCTACGTGTAGCACACTGGAAAGTATGGTTACAACTGGTACTGCTCCTAATAATACAAGTACTGTTTCGGGTATCTTTAATACTACTGAGAATTCCACTTTGATTCAAACTTCTGACAATTCAACATTAGGCGGCTTTATATCTACATTAGGCGAAGCCACCACACAATTGGCAAATGCTACCGTTAGCACTGTTGAAGGTATGGTCACAACTGGTATTAATTCTAATAATACAAATAGTCCATCCAGTATGTTTAATACTACTCAGAATGTCCTTTCCACTATCTTTAATACTACTGAGAATTTCACTTCCACTGCGTTTGATACTACTCAGAATTCCACCTCGATCCCAGCTTCTTCCAATTCAACAATAGGAAGCTATATATCTACATTAGGAGAAGCCATCACACAATCGGCAAACGATCCCCTTAGCACTGATGAAGGTATGGTGACAACTATTACTACTCCTTTTAATACAACTGCTCCATCATATATGAATTTCACCACATATGGAACCAACCCTACAGATTCTGCGCTTAGGTATGCTATACCTATTTTTCTATCAATACTGCTCTTTCTTTCAACTTCCCTATTTCTGTTTACATTAGTTAAGGTAAGAATATATTTATATTTTTATGCATTTATATTCATTTTTAATTATTCAACAAACCTTATATACATTTAACTGTAATAATTTTTTCTTATCAATTTTTAATGTATCATTTAGTATATTTGTGAGACGAAAAACAAGAACAAATCAGAAGACGTGGAATTAGAACGAATGTTGGTAAACCCAGAAGAAGCTTACGCAGAACAACGTAGAAAACATCGTAGTAGAGGATGGAGAATGACTTCCTATTATGAATCAGGTTATTCGGTGGATAGTAGTGAACTTCTTGAAATAATTGACGGTGGGAATGAAAGTGAAGACAATGATAAAAATGCCCATGGAGATGAAGGTGAAGAGAATAATGAAAGTGACGATGGGAATGAAGGTGAAGACAATGATAAAAATGAAGATTGAGATTATCTTTTTGGTTAGCTGTTTGATGAGTTCTTGTCAGGTAGGCTGAAAATGTAATAATAAGATATCACATGTTGTGAATTATCCCTTATAATTTCTATATATAGAAATGGAGCATTTGCCTTTTGATATTCAAAAAGTGTTCATAAAGAAAATCATTAACCATTGAATACTTTTTACTTACCAATGTAACATAAATAAAATAAAGCATGGGTATAAATTTTTATACATGATTTTTACGTATGCCCGAAGGAACAGAAGGAGAGTTCCATAAAATATTGACTAGTGATAATTTTCATACTGAACACAGTGCTTAAATGCACAGCTTTTGAGAAAGGATTTTACCCTTTCGGATGGTTCTAAAATGTGCATAAGTATTTTTTCCCCATTGTATATGATTCTACATTAAGAAATTTTGTTTTTTTAATGTTTTTAAAAATTAACATCTATAGTAGTAAAACAAAGGAATTCTTTTATTAAGTCAATCTTTTCACAGAATTTTTACGAAATAGTCGTGTGTCTTAATGTTAGGAAAAAACGTGCCAGTTGGAATAATATCTACATTCTTCCTCGTTCTCTTCAGCGTGGCATTAATTTTATCCTAATTAGAGGCACAGTTCTGTGTGGTAAAATTATTGTATCTAGAACTCATTTAGAGAAAAACTAAAGAATGGTCAAATTATATAAGTTTTGTATTTAATTAGGAAGGAAAAATTATGAAATTTTTCTTCCTTTTAAAAAAATATTTTATTTAATTGAAAAAGGGTGTATTTTTTTTTTTCTTTTTTTTTTTTATTCCCCTACATTTCGTAAAATGCGCAAAAATAATTCGACAGACTAAGGCGGCGTAATCATATTTTCTGTATGCATATAGGAGTAAAACATAGTCGATAATATCACAAAGGTGAAATGGTTAGAATGGGAGAAAGTGTGTCTTTATTCTGTTCAAAGGTGTTTCTAGGAATGTAAAATATCATTCGCGATCAATGAAAGAAGAAAGGCTTCGTTTTGAACCTGTATTGGAACATTTCACAAGCAGCCTTCTCATCATGAGTGTTATCATGTGTACCATGTATCTTTAAAAGATGTCTAATTAACGTGTTGTATGCGTTAGCGATTTAAATAAAATGGTTTATTTTTTAAGGGAATATGCGTATTAATAATATGGCAGTTAAGACAATTTAATTAAGGCATCAAATGATTTGAGACTCCTCACTATATGCTTATATAAGAAGAGTTATTCTGTAATGAAAAAAATTTGAACATTCTTACATTGAAGTTTTTTTTTAAGTGTTTTACAATGTGCGTATCTTCCATTTCGGTTTGGTTTATTCATCCTTTAAAGGTGACATGACATTTATGTGAGGAGTAATTCGTTAAAATTTTCTGTTGCGTCGGCGGATAAGTCTACAGAAAAAACATCCCTTCATTATACTCATCTGTATATATTTCTTTGTTCTTTCTAGACTTAACATTTGCCACAGAAATATTACTTAACCGTAAATTGGTCAAGTTATATGCAAATGGATTAAGTCATATAAGTCATGGTCAGTATTCAAAAATATAGCAATTGCTTCACTGGCTGGTTATAGCAGAATGGGCAATCATGTACAAAAAAAGAATAGTCCTTTTTGCAGACAAGTAAAGATGCATGACGATGAAAGCTAATTTTTCCTTACTTCTAAACTTCTTCATGGTTTAATATGCTTTTATTTCCACATTTTCCTGCTAAAAAGATGCCTTTTTCCTGGTACGTTTTACTTGATAAAAGGGTATATACACGGATAATTTCCCATTTGATGGTTTTCCAAAACAATAACATCATATTTTACATGCAGCTCGCTTTAGTGTATCATAGAAATGTATTTTATCCTAATTGCCATGCCTTAATTTTTAGCTCATGTTAAAATGGAAGAAGATGAGGTTCTGCGAATCCATATATACCAAGGAGAACTGAGTGTGAAAATCTTAAAATTTTCAAAACGCTTTTCTTAGTGGCTCATACAGTAGAAACGGTAATTTTCTTATTTTGGGACAAATCTGCTGTTCTCAGCTCAACAAGAAATTGCATGCTGAAGAGTAAAGTTTTTTTTTTTGCCGTAAGAACTGTTCTGTGAGTATATAAAAAAAAATCCATGCTTATGACATTTCATATGCAAAAAAAAAAAAAGGAAAAAAAAAAAACTATTTACAGCGGTTAATAATTACATTTAAATTGACACAAAATGATGAGAAAAGAATGAACTTTAATCTGTTATTTTTCCTCAATTTTTTTTCTTACAAGAAAAATTATAAATCATGAGCAGAGGTGTATTTAATGCCACTTAGATGCGAAACACAGGCATATCAATTTTCCTATATGAAAAAAAAAAAAGATGTAATTTAATCATTTTATGAATAAAAATAAGCGTTTTTGACGAGTATACCTTCAAATCATTTAAGTGTGGATTTTAAATGTAAGAAGAAACATATCATATGCTGTAACAAAATAAAAAGTTAAATTTATTTTAAATGAAGCATCAACACATGTCTAACCCTGACATTTTCGTAGCCTGCATCCTCAAATGGAGTTTGTTCTTTCTATTTAATTTATGGGACCCCTAAACCATGAACATAATTTTTTAAACCCTCAGCACACGAGTATTTTTATAGCAAATTTTTCCCATGAATTTTGATTTAATTTCACATGGGAATAAATTCACTTAACAGTTGCTATTCATTTTATCCTGTTACGTTACTTTTTTTAATGATTTATCCCAGCTCATATTAACTAAGAACAATTGACAAGTACACAACACTGTAATTTGTAAGCAGAAAAAAGCATAGTTCGTTTTTCATATCAACAATGAGAAATCCTGTAAACAAACGGAAGCGGTACGATTTAAAAAGGCAAAATAAAAGTAGAATGTTGTTGCTGGCCTATAAATTTATTGAAGTCTGACTGGTGCAGAAAACAAAAGTATATAAACATGTATGTAACATAAGAATGCTGAAGTAGACTCATTGTACAAAAATAAAATGTGATCAAGTGAATATTTTTCTGTGATTGTATAGTATAATAAGTTTAGTTCACACATACATTTTAAGATTTCACTATTTTCTCGAACATGCATGGATACTAATTGTGTCCGTAGTTAATTGTTCCTGTCTATTTTTTGCTCTGCTCATTTTGTGACGTGCAGTTAAGGTTTTAATTTACTCATGTAATCCAAATAACACGATATAACAGCGTGAAGCTGTGATATTTACACTGTTCTCGAAAATAAAATTGTCTTATATTTTTACTTCATTTTTTTTTTTTGCATATAATGTTTCTTAAAATGAAATATTTCTACAAATTAGCCATAGTCTTAGCCCATATTCATACACATCTCATGCAAAACAGATGTGTAAGGAAAAGTATTTGTAGATGAAAATGAACCTGATTCTGGTGCACTATCAAAGGGATGGGAAAGCCTCTTATGGTGAAGATGTTATGGCAGAAGTTATAAATCTTTTGTCGCTTCACGCTTTAGGACAACAAAAAGAGGAAAGGAAAAAATCCGAAAAAGAGGATGAAGTTGCAGGGGAGGAACAAATAGGGACAGCTGGAGGGGTGGAAGAAATGGGAATCAGTTACAGGGGAGGAAGAAATAGGGAAAGCTAGAGGAGAGAAACAAATGGAAACTGGAGAAACATCCCCGAGAAAAAGAAGCTTTAGTTTAGGACAAACACATTTTCAATTAAGAGATATTAGAAAATACAAGAGGAGCTCTGAAGAAGAAATGCAATTGTAACAAGTACAAGAAAAGGGAACAGCTTTAAGTGCATCATCATCAGAAGATGCACCAGAAGAAAAGCCTGAAAAAAACATATGACCACGATTTAGATGAGTTTAGACATGTACTAAAGAAATGTGATGATATATTTTTCGAAATTTATGATAAACCACTAGAGGAATATGTAAAGGCAGGGATGCACAACATAGGAGAAATTTCTCAATTGCATAAAGAATATCTATTAAAATTGGCGAAAGGTATTGACTTTGAAAATGCTTCTAAGCCTTTTGGAGTAGCAAAGAAAAACTTTGAAATGAAAAGTGAAAATGAATTACGCGGAACGCTATATTTTCATGATTTGATGAATATTCCTTTATTTGAATTTTTAAATAATACGACGGTGGGTAATTTATCTCTGGCAAAGGTTAATTCTTTATATGTCAAAGAACGTATTAAATATCAGCCATGCATAGTTCCCTGTTGTAGTATCTTGGTACAAGAAAAATATCTTTTAACATTGAGCATTCCTTTTGGTCTTACTATAGGAACTTATTTTTCTAAGGAAAAATGTGAAATTCGAAATTTTGAGGATACAAAAAACAAGGGCTATACGAGAAAAAAATATGGAAAACCGTTATGTAGTTGAACGGTTAAAACAGATAAATGCCACTAGACATTTGAATTATGCCGAAGGAAAGAAGATAATAGATATAATTATTTACCAACTAAGGAATATGTCGTATGTAAAAAAAAACATTATCTTTCTTTGCTGAAAGACGTAATAAAATTAGGAAAAATGCAATGCCTCTTTTACAAAATTTCCCTTTACATAAAAATTTTACATATATAACGATGTTATTCTTTTGACATTCCTACATTATGTAATCAGTTATGCTATTGTAATACTTAAGCCATTAAAGATTATAGTTCTTCGAAAAGATGTGATAGAATATAGGGAGTTTTATATTGCTTCAGGTTTACTAAATCGGTTAATAGCTTTACTGGAGTTTATAGAATATAATTCACAATTATGTCATGAATACTTTAAGACATAAAAATGTTGTTGATTTTTATGCACCTTCGAAATTAATTGAAGATATATTACCCATTCTTAAATATTCAATGATAAGGCGTCAAACATGTTGTATAATGTATAATATAAGTAAATTCCTTTGGAAATTTCAATATTGCGAAGATTGGGTAACTCATTGTGGAGGGCATGTTCATGAGGATTATGTTAATTTAATCTTTTGATTAGAACGTACATCAAATAATGCCAAAGAATTGGTTAAAAGGTGAATACAAGATATGATGTTATATATTTACAATTTAAATAAAAGCGAAATGAGAAATCATGTGAGTAAATCATTGCAATTTCTTCTGTTTGTTGTACATATTACAGAATAAGTTTCTTTATCAAAATATTTTGAAATGTAGAACGAGAAGTAATTCCTATTCTGTTCTACATTTGTAAGATAAATAAGACAATTTTTGTTGCCCTTTTTTTCTTTTTTCTTAATCTCATAATTTGTTACATTCTGAAACTTTCGACGTTTTAAAAATGTTTGCAGAACTAATGTTTTCCGCTTTTCTTTGTGTGTTTTTTAGTTTTATACTTTTTGACAATTCCGTGTGTACTTAAAAAAATATGAAAATGTAAAGTAAATATATGTTTTCACTATGAGGAGTATGTTTTATAAGATAAAAATTATGCCTTAGTGGTAGAAAGCATAATACCATTAAAAAAATCTTAAAAAAAATATTTTTTCTTTAAATGAAGACGAACATATGTGGAATGAACCTTCTGCATTATTTGTGCTTTATAAGACGCACAATTTTTATCTGCTATGGAGGATACCACAACTATCTTTTTATCTTGCATATAGATTACAGCAGTTGCGCTTTCACTTTTTAAGTGAGATTTAATTTATTACAATGAACATATAGTGGAATGCTCCATATGGAGCATTTGGCAGTATGGCGGCTAATTTAAGTACAACTGTCTTATTTAATTATGGTTATAAAATAATATACGGTTGGATCTCGTTGTGATGCATTTTGTTCAAATGTGACTGTAAAAGAAATGTTGCAATTTGTCATAATAAATAAAAAGAAGTCATCTTAATTTCTGGATCGGTTAATGTGGCAGATATATGTACACGAAGAAGTTGCATCATTAGAGGATTCGTCATTTTTTTGATGAACAGGGAAGAAAAATAAGTTGTTTGCTCATTTGTGCATGGGACCATTTAAAATCCTGTTATCCATTCACATTATGTATGAGTTGCCTTCTTTTTTTTTTTTAAATAATGTGAAACGAGTTTGTACATCCTATCATGATAAAGAATGTTTTGAAAAATGTTGCCATATTTTTTAGAAAACACAATAATCTGATGAATACATCCTCTGTGGTGATGCATATTGAAGAATGGGTTTTAAATTTTTTACAGAGCTCAGCCATATAGCAAAAATTACCCATTAGCACATATTTAAACACATATTGAGAAATAATTATGATTAAAAAGAAGTTGTGCATGAATGTATGTTAAGAAAAAAAGGAAAAATTTGACCACACATGTTTGCATCTCTTGTTGGGCCTATTCATTTTTTATGAAAACAGAAATCAACGTGGAAAAAAATCCTGTGTAAATCCTTTAAATATGATGACGAAATTTACATTCACATATTGCGCATATTATAGATATCTTTAAAAACCTTCGCACGCAAATTTTTTAACTTTGAAGAACACTTTTGCCATTATATTATACGAAGATTTTTTAAACCAATTTGCCATAATAACGAATTCGTTAAGATGCTTAAAAGATGATATAAATGAAGTAAAAAGTAGGAACATATCGCTGTATCAGAGAAAATTTACTAGTGGTAAATAATTGGGGCATGCTTATGACACAAATGATTGGCAAAAAAAAAGTGGATACAATGCTAACTCCACAGAGGGAATGAAATGGGCCAGTTTTGATACCAATAAATAAGATGAGTGTAATTCATGCGAAAATTGAAGAAATTTGAAGAGGATAAATTATATGAGATAAATACACATATCCCACAAAATGAAGAACTTTTAGCCACCTAAAGTCCCCTCATCGAGTTTTTAAAAAGGAATTAGTCTATATATATAAATTATATGTTCGGTTAAATTGGAATGTCTCAAGAAACTGCACATGAAAAGGTGAAGTGCATACGAAGTAGAATGCATATAATTTGCACGTATTATTGTGTTAAGAAGCGTTCCATTCATACGTGTGAAATGCACGAAAGGGGAGAGAACACTTCTGAAATATCAGCCGGAATTTATATGGTTACACATTTTTCTGTTTAATATATGTATTTATAACCAGGTCTGTGTTAACACACCTTTCAAGTTCATAACGCGAAAATCGTGATATATCATTTCAGAAAGGCAATATATATTCGTTTTAGATATGTACGGTCAGGAAACAGAAAGAGTGATTAAACAGGGAAAACGATTTTTGTGAACGTAAAATATGTACCACTTCTTTGTAAGGACGAACATGAAAAGGCGGTTGCTATCATAATGGGCTTTTCACATAAGACATCACGTTCAGCGGAAATGAAAATATTAAGCATTTTGTTATCATTCTATGATTACCCCGAATGATGATTGAATTTGGGGGGGTACATAACATATACAATTATGTTGTGTGTATATTCAGAGCGGTATTTATAGGCATTATAAATTTTCCATTTTGGAAAAAATAAGAATGAAAATGAAAGCGTAAAATGCAGCATAAATTGTTTAAAGAATAATTACAAAGAAAAGTAA